TTTTTTTTTTTTTTTTTTAATTTGAAATCAAAAGCAATACATATAATATAAATTATACGAACATAAAAAATAATTGTGTTGGACTTTCGGATTAATTGAAAAATTTGTTTTCCAATATTAACCATTCGAATATTCTTTAGAAAAAGATGCGTTTGAAATGAAGGACAAGAACTAAGCGATTAAACGCTTTTAGATGAATAAACTAATCAATAAATACTAATGTAAAATACAAAATTTTGTTTCCCAGTCAGAAAATGATAGCACTAACGAAGAATGCGTGCATTCGCCTATATTGTTGGATCTAGATAAAAATTCTAAGCAACAGCAAGATATTTTAAATCAAGAAGAAAGTTTGCCGTCTAAAGTTTCTAGTATCAACCAGTATTTGCAGGATCAATTAATAAGAAATGGTCCAGGTATAGTTGTGATTCATAACAATATTTGAAATGATAAATATAAAAAAAAAATAATTACAAAATTATAATAAAACATTTATTTATAGAAAATATAAATATGCCTCGACGACAATCTGTAAGAAGATCGTGGCAGGATGAAAACTTCGAAGAACGTCAACAACATAACGATCGAGTATTTGTGATAAGAGTTCCCGAGCCGGAAGTGATCAACACTCATCCTCACTTGGAAATCCTTCACGAAACTAATATCAAATCAGTTCAAAGAGAACCATCACAAACTGAGAAAGGTGAAAAATATAATAAACTCTCGAAAATAAATGATATCTCTCGCTATTATTATTAAATTAATTTTAGTCTTGTTTTCAGATTACAAAAAATCAGCTTGCGACCGTGAACGAACAAGAATGCGTGATATGAATCGCGCTTTTGAGCTTCTACGATCGAAGCTACCAATCTGCAAACCACCCGGTAAAAAACTTTCGAAGATCGAGTCACTTAGGCATGCGATCACGTATATACGACATCTTCAAAGCCTTTTAGAACCACAGTATAGTTACACTTCGAGCATACCAGAGCGAGATTACTATGGTAATACTGCCTCAATCACTACAAATACTTCCGTAGATGTTCAACACCCTCGGTGGGAATCGTTCACTTATTATCGTTACGATTATCACACACCATTTGTTAATCCATCGCCGCCAACGTTACCTTCATCTATTCACCCTCGAGTACAACCGGAACAAGACGATCGACAATTTTTTTATGAAGCACGACATTAATACCTTCACAACAAAGTTACTATTAATCTATTTAATATGTTTTTAAGATCTTTCAAACAGTAATAGTGGCACAGACTGACTTCACAATAAGAAATGGATATCTAATTAATCAAATATTTTACGTGCCTACCATAATCTCTGTAACTATAAATCTCATTGACTCGAAAATGAAATACGCTTAATTACTTTGTGAAAAACTTTCGCGCGGATTATTGGATTGATCCTAGTATGCGAGCTTTCAAGATCATCTTCAATTAGAGAAAGGTAATTTGACATACTGCAACATGGTTCTAGCCTATAACGTATAATATGACTTATTTGTATGCGTATTACTATTTTTGTGAATTCAATTCATATAAATGATCGAAAAAAATAGCTTTTCTCAGTGTATCAGTATCAGTGTCAAAATCATAGTGATTTTGGTTTCTCTCTTGCGAGTAAATAATAATATTTATTATTTAATTAGACAGATAAAAATATTTTAATTTTTATACTCACTGGATTTTTGTGAAAATATGCGCATTACCGCTGACAACAAATTAATCTTTCTCGAATGAATAATTTTCGATAAATTTTCGAAATTAAATAAAAAAAAAAGCAGTTTTACATGTCCCCTCTCCAGAGTCTTAAACTTCAGGTACTCGTAAAATATTTTATAAAATTTGACACAGTAATTTTTCTTTTAAAGTAATATTTCTTTTAAAAGATAATAATACATAATAATAATAAAGATAAAATATTTTCATTTCAAAATTCATTCAGTCTATAATTTTTTTACATAAAATTCGTAATATATATATAACACAGTTTCGTAATATATGTAAATACATACATATTAAAATTAATTTTGGAAAATCATTATATTTATTTATCATAAATAAGTTCATATATACAATTTTATTGGATTCATGTATTTCTCTAACCATAATTTAATGTATCTTAAAGAACATTTTATATAAATATCTTCAATTAAAATAAAATTTAATGAATTATTACATTAAAATGTAATAAGAAATTTTTTTACTCACATTGGAAACATGAACTATTTCCAACTATTTATTGCACAATCTATGTTTTAAAAGATGTATAATTGTAAATAAAAAAAATTGTAAATAGATAAACTTGCATTATTAAGAAAATAATTCTTCCTCAAATTCTTCTTCAAAATTCGAATTAATTTTTAACTTCTTGGGACTACAACTTTCTTTTTCATTTTCATCTACCTTTTGTATATGTTTATTTAAAGTACTTATCTTATTTTCTGTCCAATCACTACTGGTGGATGCTTTAGGAATTATGTTATCAGTAATAATATGATTTGGCTTTTTGGTTTTCTGAATACTTTTTGGACTAGTACTATTAAGAGATTTTTTTTTGCTAACTTTAGATATTGTAACATTTTTTACAGCTTCATCTTCTTTTTCTAATTCTTCATCTGTACATGCATCAAAGATTGATTCTCCAGTATTTTCTTTCTCTTTTGTAGCATCTGCTAATTCTTTAATTTTCTTTTTCTTCGAATTTAAAACTATCATAAACTTCTTATAAAGATCTTGTTCCATAGTACTCTTGATTTCTATCATTTTTTCTATTTTAGAACTTAATTCTTTATTTTCATTTACTAAATTTGTATTTTCTTGTTCTAATATTGCTATCTTTTCTTGGATGTTTTGAAAAAATTTCAACAGTTGTTGAAAACTTTTACAAATTACTTGGATATTTGAAATAGCATGTAATTTAATTCTCCCGAGAGTCCATGAGTTTCTTTTCCATTCGAAAATTTCGTCTTTGACAACAAAATGAATTTTTGTATCTTTTCCACCAAGTATTTGTTTCGTCTCTTCGACGTATTCATCAGACGATTTAGACAATTCGCTAGAAAAATAATTTATACTTTCGGTATCCATCTACAACACAATTTGTTTATTAGTTATTTTTATTAAAAAATGAAACTCATACAATTTTAAAGATTTCCATCATTTAAATTTAAATTTCGGGCTTTTCCAATTTGTACACTAACCTCACCGGTTAATGGTGGTATTGTTGAATTTAACAACATTATCTTAAGACACAAATTAAACCATTCCACATAAAGTGTATAATTCTTATTATCAATTTTGTTAAAAATTTCGTATGCAGTTACTTCTGTCATTGTAATAATAACTGTTATTAAATTGATTATAAAATTATAGGTTATGTCATTTAAAATAAAAAAATCAATTGCAATATTATGCAATGTTAAATTGCAAGTTATAAAAATTAATGCTAGTAAATCAATAATAAAATATATTAAGAAATAAAGTATAATAAGAAATACATATTGCTTTTAATAAGATTATGCATCACTTAGGGAAATCCACACAACATTACAACATTGTAAACTGACGTTTAAGTTTTCTGTAATGGATTGGCACTCTTCAACACATGTAATTTTAGACCAATGATTAAAATCTTAAACGTCAACATTCTACATTGTCAACATTAGAGTTTGGATAAATAACGTGATGATAATGTTTATGAATTGAATAGGTATGTACATGAAATTTATTTTAAATTGTTTGGTTTATGTAATAAAATAATTAATTTATTACAAAACCATAATAAAAACGTATTATAAAATATCATAAGGTAAATTTTTAATATGAATTAATATATTCTAGAAAATATATTAACATTGTGAGATATAAGTATTATAGTAAAAATCATGATTGAGATAACAGCAAAATTAATTAGAGGACCTGTATATTTTTCTGGTGAAGTTATTGAATGTTTAGTCACATTTAGTAATCCACCAAATCCAATTCATCAAATCTCCCAAAGTCACAGGTAATGTACAGTTAACTTGTGTATATATAAAGAAATAAATTCTTATATACAAATTACAATTAATTTTAGTGACATTTTTGAGAGTCTTGCATGGGCTAGTGCTCAGGTTCATTGTCAGTGTTCTACAAACAGTAAAATTGTTTTCTCAGAAAAACTAAATATGACAGCACAATTAGCAGCTATTAATGCAAGTAAGTCTATAGTATTTTAAAGTAATAATTTCTAATTGTTGCTTAAAAAAGTACAAAATTAATTTCTTTAATTTTGATTCTAATGAGTCTAACTTTCTAATTTATTCAGTTTGTTTTTTATAATAAGTGTCTTTCAGATACAACCTTTGCACCATGGCAGCAAGATAATGGTCATGTTGTTCTAAATACAAAACCAAAAATTTTGTTTTGTGACTTAAGATTATCTCCTGGTGAAAGTAAAACATGTGAGTTCTTAATTGAAATTTAGATATTGAAGGTCAAACATATGAACAAAAGTACATTAAATTTTATAGATATTTATCGAGAAACAATTCCAAGTGATGCACCTCCATCCTATAGAGGGCATGCAGTAAAATATTCGTATAAAATTACAGTTGGGACACAAAGAGTGAACACAGCTATAAAGTTACTTAGAGTTCCATTTAGAGTACTTTCTTTAAGCGGTATTTAATCGATTATTTAATCTTTAAGCAATTATTTAATCTTCTTACTTTAATACTTACTTAGCATAACATTTACATATCTATTAATTCATTATAAAAAAAATTGTGATTAAAACTCTTGTTTTTATTTGCGAATTTGTAGAATTGCCTGAAGTAACTGCTTGTAATGATAGCGTTGATTTGAGTCCAAATAATCCATTCATGGAAACACAACATAGAGATACTCCATTAGACGTTGCACTACAGACTCTTCAGGTTCATTATGTTTATATAGAAATTTGTATTTATTATGTAAACATAATATTAATTCTTTGCTTTTACATTTAGAATTTAACAGCTAGACGCAGTCCAAACTTTTATAATATTACAAACGGACGTGGACGTATCGTGAGATTTTGTCTTTTCAAAAATTCTTACAAACTCGGAGAAGATATCGTTGGAACGTTTGATTTCTCGAATGCTACCGTTTCCTGCGCTCAAGTGTCTGTTGCGTTGCAATCGGAGGAACATATTTCGGAGGAGTACAGACGAGGAAAGACTTCGACACCGACTTTAGTCAGTTACAATAAACACCACGAAATGTGTATGGGTTTGAAATATTCTCATTTGGTATTACCTATACCGTTGCATGTAACACCAGATTTTACTACTGATTTAATGACACTAAAGTGGAGATTACATTTCGAATTTGTTACGACTTCTAAACTGGTAGAAGTGCCCAATAAAAATACTATTAACTGGCAAGGGCCATTGATCTTGGATGTTGAAACAATGATATGGGATTTACCTGTTCACATTCATCCAACAACTACACCGCCTAATACGGCGCAACAAACAAGATATAATATAGTAATATAGCAAATTGAAAAATATTAAGAATGTTATATTAAGAATTCGCAGACATTTGTTATTTTTTTATCGACAGTTATTTAGCTGTAAATTTCTCGAACTATTAATATAACAATAAAGATAATGTATACAAAAGTGTAAATATATAAATGTAATATACATGAATTTATTATTATGTCAGATCATGTTTTGACAACAAATAGTTCACGCAATGTTTTAAATACTTTACGCAATAGACAAAATATTATAAATACAATATTCATACGTTTAATGTAAATTTCATTCAAAAAATGAAATTTTGTTAATTATATTTTTTGACACGTTTTATTAAAAAGTATTAATTTTTCTCCCATGTGTGTTAGTTATTTCTATCAAATTCATAAAATAGAAAGATGGTATATAACATTGTTTTATAAAAGTTAATATGGCAAACTATACACATACTGTTTCATTTGGTAATTTATATGTAAACTATTTAAAGCTACTAACAACCACGTGGAATATACATAACTTCATTTTTATTTGTATTGTCATGTCTCAAGTGGAACTTTTCGGTCAAGAGAAAGAATAATAATTCCTATTCACACTCTCGGGAACGTGAAGGAGAGAGATCGTTGTCGAAGAATGTATGATATTTTGGAGTTAAAGGAGTTAGCGTTTTAGAGTCATCAGTTAGATTACTCATTAGTGTGGCCCAAAATACGCTGAAGGAATCTATTCTGACACCGGCCTAGCACTCACACATACTTGAGATTGCAAACGATCCTTCAGCTGTAGCTATTGCGATATTGACAGTGTTGAATTTGAATTTGAAATCGTAGTTCAAGACTTTGACAGTGGAATCTTGAAATTTGAATTCGAAGAACGCGCGCTAAACTCCACAGATGTTAGGAGACACGTGAAAATAGTATACACGTGAAAAAGATGAAGAATCAACGGAAAATCGTAAAAAGAAAATTAAATAATACACTAATTAAAAATAATGTTAAAAAAGAAGAACCAGATTCGACAAAATTCATATTGGAAGAAGAATCGGTAAACGTTTCTTTTATCGGCATGTTCTAACCTATAAGGAAACATAACCAAATTGTTTAATTTAGAATTACACATATTTCGAAGATATCATTTATTATTTTTGTATTTAATAAACAATTACTTAAATAACGAAAAATATTATTTAGGATTCAGGTGCTGAAGACTTATTGTCTACTGAAGTGAACAACAATGATGAAAGTTCAGATGAGGAAGTAAATGAAAATGAAGACGTTCCTGTATCAGACACTGAACAAGATCAAGTTGTTTTTGAATCTGACGATGAAGAAAATGACTTAAGTTTTGAGACAGATTCAGATGATCTTGGTCTAGATTATTCTGAAAGTGATGAAGAAAGTATTTCTCTTAATGAAAACAGCGATGAAAATGAAGATGAAAACTTGGAAAAGAAAAGCGAAAATTCAAATACTCCAACAACATCTAAGGATAGTGTATCTGAAAAAGTAAAGACAAATGAATCTTCCGAAATTAATATTAATATTAAAAATATATCTGATACATTACAAATTAAAAAGCAAAGTAAGAAACAAAAGAAAACAAACAAAATTAATAAATCAGATGAATTTGGTAAAGTTGTACAAAAGGATAAAGTACAGAATAAAAGAAACTTAAAATCAGATGTAGAAAAATCTAAAAGAAAGGATACTAAGAATAATACTAATTCTAATATAAGCAATGAAAATAATGTCAAAATAATAGCAGATCAACAAGTAAATGAGTATGAATATGATAGTTCTGATGAAGAAGATATACGTAATACAGTTGGAAACATACCAATGAAGTGGTATGATGAGTACGATCACATTGGTTACAATTGGGATGGCAAAAAAATTATAAAACCTCAGAAAGGTGATCAACTAGACAATTTTTTGAAAAGAATGGAAGATCCTGATTTCTGGAGAACAATTAAAGATCCTCAAACTGGGCAAGATGTTGTATTGAGTGAAGCAGACATAGATTTAATTACAAGGATACAAAAACGAAAAATTCCAGATATAACTTTTGATGAATATGGTGTAAGTATTTTTTTTAATTCAATAGTAATTTAAGAATTATATTTTTATATTTTATTGTAGCCATGGATAGAATGGTTTACTTCAGAAGTAATGAAGACACCATTACGTAAATTTCCTGAACATAAGCGTTCATTCTTACCATCCAAACCAGAAGCTAAAAAAATATCAAAATTAGTTCATGCACTTAAAATGGGTTGGATAAAATCAACAGCAGAATTAAAAAAAGAAAGGGAACAGAAGACAAATGAACCACAATTTTACATGTTGTGGCAATCAGATGATCAAGCTGAAGAAATGCGTAGAATTCATAAACATATTCCTCCACCAAAAAGACATTTGCCTGGACATGCAGAAAGCTATAATCCTCCTCCAGAGTACTTATTCGACAATAAAGAATTGAAAGAATGGAATAAATTACAGACAACTCCATGGAAACGAAAATTACACTTCATTCCACAGAAATACAATTCTCTCCGTGAAGTTCCAGCTTATTCTAAATATGTTAAAGAAAGATTTCAAAGGTGTCTAGATTTGTATTTGTGTCCTAGAGCACTGAAAATGAGATTAACGATAGAACCAGAAGCCTTAGTACCTCAATTGCCTAGTCCAAAGGATTTACAACCTTTTCCTACAACAATGTCTATGGTATTTAAAGGTCACACAGATATGGTGAGAAGTATTACTGCAGAACCAATGGGACAATATATTGCTTCTGGTGGCGATGACATGAATTTAAAGGGTATGTTTTATAAAATATTATATATATGAAATACTGTATACAAACATAATATAAAACATAATATGAAACATAATATAAAACAATGTTCATTGTTTTACAGTATGGGAAATAGCAACTGGCAGATGTATAAAAACAATACCGTGTGGGGGGATAATCAGGTCTGTAGCATGGTGTCCAAATCAATCTCTATCGCTTATAGCAGTAGCCGCAGATAAAAAGGTCCTTTTAATAAATCCTGGCGTTGGAGATCATTTAATTACTAATAAAACGAATCAGTTGTTGGAAATAATACCTCAAAGTGATGTTATAGGTATTTTTCTACAATACATTTTTCTACAATACTTTCTATAATAATTTGTTTATGATATTTGCATTTTTGTTACAGTAAGTGAGAGAGTGAAAACTGCTGTTCAGTGGGAACAAGCGGAAGGTGATTATTGGACTAATGGAATTAGGATAATTTTAAATCATTTTAAAATAGTAAAACAAGTGAATTGGCATGGTAAAGGTGATTATTTTGCTACTGTTATGCCCGATGGTCAAAATAGATCTGTCTTAATAAATCAGTTATCAAAACGAAGATCTCAGTTGCCTTTTACCAGATCAAAGGGTTTAATACAGTGTGTCCTGTTTCATCCAATTAGGCCTTATTTATTTGTAGCGGTAAGTAGAAAAGAATATAAATTAAACGTAAAATTTTAAGTGTATAACTACAGACTCAATAATCGTAGACTCAACGAAATGTTCGGATATATGATTTAATAAAACAAGAAATGATTAAGAAGTTATTATCAAACTCACAATGGATATCATCAATGGCAATACATCCAGGTATACTAGACGTTAATACTTTACCACCATTATTAATTATATATTTAATGTAAATACCTATATTTCTAGGAGGCGACAATATTTTAGTAGGCACTTATGACCGCAAAATGCTTTGGTTTGATCTTGATTTAAGTACAAAACCTTATCAAACATTACGTTTACATGGTACAGGCGTTCGTGGTGTTGCGTTTCATAAGCGATATCCACTTTTTGCATCTGGTGCTGATGATAGAGGTCTTATCGTTTCCCATGGAATGGTTTATAAGTAAGTTAATTTCTATAATTATTTGATACTATTGTTTGTCATATATTGCTTATTTCATAATGTATTTTAGCGATTTATTGCAAAATGCATTGATTGTACCACTTAAAAGATTATGCAATCATGAGTCTTACAATGATTTTGGTATTTTGGACGTGATGTTTCATCCAATTCAACCATGGGTATTTTCTGCAGGTGCAGATTCAACGATACGGATGTATACTTGAATTATATATATTTATAGTTTTAATTAATAAATATTTTCCCTTATATGAGTTTTCAAAGCAATTTTTAATATAATAAAGCAAATATTATATTACAAATCATGGAAATTTTTTGGAGAACAACTTTACAGCTATAAAAATTAAAATAAATTTTTTTTTGAAATATTTTATTTTGCGCATGAATTTAAAACAACTTTTGTATTATAATCATTTACAAAGACTAAAAATATAGGAACTTCTGTATCACAACAAAGTGATATGCGGTAGTATAATTATGATAAAAAAAATCGTAAAGGATTATATAATAAATAATTAAAATAATAAAAAATTTATCTACTTTAAGAGACGCCATAATTTACAAAATTCGTAAAAACTTGATATCTAAATGCATCTTAAATTAAAAATCTTTTAAAAATGCATATATATTGACGAATTTGCGAAAAATCTAAGACTAGTTCTACACTGTAGAAAAAAGTTTAAAAGAAAGAATCATTTCCATTAGCAAAATTATTAATAAATGAATTTTACTAAATTTCAGTTTTTATATAAAAAATAATGATATTGTAATAAATCTTGGAAGAGATCTGGAAAAGTTCTTGAAGAATTATTGTAAATCGTACAAAAGATTATTTAAAAATTATATTGCACATGATCGTGATATTTTCAATCGTAAATAAGTAAAAAATAATTTTTTTAATATTTAATCTGCAGCTCACAAAATATTTCAAATTTGTAATTTTAACATTTTTGTTTAAATTACTAACGATTGTTCAATATACTGAATTTTTATTTCTTACATAATAAATGTTAAGTTAAAAATATGAAATATTCAGTGAGAGGTAAATAAAATGTTATATGATAAATTAAATGTTATTTCTGAACAAATGATGCAGAATATAATTTCTTTAAAAGTAAATTAAGTTGCTCACAATCATCTTTTGTAATATAATTAACAAATTTAAAAATAATAGCAAACCAAAATTACTGATATTATATTATATGCATATATAATATATGCACGTATCTGTATATACATGTATATACACATACGTATGTGTACATACTTAAGACGATGGTGGTGAATGACCTAAACATTGCCATTCAGGTTCTCCACATTCGCAAATACGACCAGCGTGTCTGACTTGAAAAACTGTCACTATACCTCTGTTGTCATCGAATCTACAAGTGATGTGTAAATCGTGAATTAAGAAAGTATAAAATTGGCTACCCCATCGTTGTCTTAAATATACCGATCTAGGATCTTCGCGAAGTACATTTTCAATAGCCACTTTCTGGTCGTTAATTTTAGTTCCTAAAATCTCACTTAATTGAATCAACGCACGATCGTTAAACACTACACATAAAGGTGTCCGAGGTCTTGATATCCATTCTGGAATTCTTATTTCCGAAGAAATATTAGCTGCCGAATTTCTATTCTCAACGTTTCTCGATTCAGAGGAGAATACTAAATGTGTATCTCCGCTGTCTGGTAAACTATTGTTTGACATTGTTCGTATTACTTGACTCGGTAAATGCTGCGAAGAAGTGAGAATTTGTGGTTCTAATCCTTCTTCTCCATCAGGAGCTTCCCGTACTCCCATTCTAACGGGAGAATTGTCGATTCTTGAGCTTAACGATCGTCTATGAATTAAATCTACGTCTGTACCACAAATTGTATTTGGTCCATCAGCTCCATCTAAAAGTCTGGACCGAGAAGCATGTGTTTCTGTATAATTGGACTCCACGCTTCTCGATCCGTAAGCTGGTTCTACATTAGTACGCTCACTCACATTGATATTTTGTAATCTATTGTTTATATCTACTAAACTTTCTGGTTCTATATCAGACGAAAGTACATTGTGCCCTGTTATATTCAGACTTGTTCTCGGATCAGACAAAGTATTAGGAAGTGTGTAAGGAGTTCTATGAATGTCAGTTACATCTACACTGTGTTGTAATGTGCCATTATTATGCAAACTGATATCACTTAATTCAGAAAAATGTCTCATATTAGAGTAACTTTCAAAGTTTGAATTTCTTTGAAATTCCTCAGCCTGTAATCTTAGAGCAATTTCTTCATCTCTAGAAATGTCTGTCTCTTGGTTCGCTTTATTAATGGGTTTTCTATAATAAGATTCTGAAAGTAAACTTCTTGGTTCATCTCTAAGATTCTGATTTCTGGCAGTTTCTTCTATACACTCGATTGCATCATCCAAATTCGATTCTTGTGACCTGTTACTTAATTTTTCAAAATATAAAGGACTATCGTACTGTGGTATATATGGTTTTATATCCAGTACAGGTGACTGATCAACCATATCTACACCTTCAAAGTAAATTGTGTGATTTTCTATGGTTGTAATTTTTACTAAACTCAAACCAATTGGACACGGACGATGTGGCGAACGTGTAGAAAATACACCTGTTTTTGTACCATTTAATCTTGGAGGTGCAACTTTAGCACGAACGTGTGTTGAATCATTTCTATGAAAGTAGAATAGAACCCTATTGAATTAAAAATGATTTTGCATCAATTGTTTAGGAATAAATAAATAAAATAAAACTTGTTTACTAAATAAGTTGTCCTACCACATATGTGAGAAATCTTGTAATCCTTCTAATGCATGATTGGGATTAGTAAATATTGAATTATATAATAACAGTTTTCCAGGTACTTTCCCACAGATACGTGTTTGTCTGGGTGTACCTCGTTTACTAGGGAACCAAGTAGATATTACTCCAATTGGTTTTAACTTTACAGCATCTTCATCTGTACTAGTGCTAGGTTTCACATCATCTGAACCTGTGATTTTTGTCTTAGATGCAGATGATCCATTTCTATACGATTCCAAAAGTCGTTTTATACTATCAACATCTTTTTCATGTATATATCGAAGACTTTTTATTTGTTGTCTGTAAAGATTAAAAAAATAATCATAATGTTATTATAACACATTATATCACATATCAATAAAACAATTATTTTAATTTTCAATAAAAAATATAATATTTGTATTCTATTGTTTATTTCACACATATGTAATATTTATACGCCCATGTATGTACGAGAACATACGTGTGCTTTACAAATATACAACTATACAGAAAACAGCATGTGTAGAACTTGTTGATATCTTTTTGAATAATTCTCTGGATTATAAAGACAGGATGTAATAAAAAAAAAAAATGCAAATAATACCTTAAATTATTGATTTCTTTTCTAGCTATATTTAACTGACCGAGCAAATATTTCGAACTAAAATCTGAATTTTGACAAGTAGAATCCATAACTATCGCTGCCCTCATGAACGTAATCACCGGTTGAATTAGGTAGAATGAAACGACGTATACATATACCATGGATCAAATAAACGCAATAGTGAGACTACTGGTTCTAAGAATTAAAGTAATTGTTTAAAAACAAAAATGGAAGTCTGTGACAGAGATCTGTGACACACATTCGATCATTTGTTTCAAAAAGTTGGATAAAATTATTTTTATAAAATTATGCAAATTTCATTTAATATAATTTATTGTTTTGATGTGGAATACATAGGGGGCGCAACTTTATTATAAAAAAAATATACATTTTAAGAACACCTTTTTGATTAATATTGTCACTTTTCATTAAAACATAATTTATTTTTTATTTGAAAAAATTTCTTTTCTGGTAGGGCAATTGCCTACATTTAATCTCTGATTTTATATAAAATATTCCATATGATGAAAAAAACAATACGATGAATTTAATTGTATTAACTTTAAAT